CCAAGACAGCCCAAGAGGCCTCCAAGACGGCCCAAGAAGCCCCAAAGACGGCTCCAAGACGGTGCCCAGCCCTCGTCCTGAGAGGTTCCCAGGAAGCGCCAAGAAGCCCCCAAGACGCCCCCAAGACACCCCCAAGAGGCCCCCAGGAAGCCCTAAGAGGCCCCCAGGAGCCTCCCAACAGGCCCTCAAGAGGCTCCCAAAAGGCCCCAAAACTACCCCCCAAGAGGCCCCCGATAGCGCTGCGAAGAGACCCCAAGAAGAATCCCTGAGGACTCTGACCCACGTCAGCATCGCTGTCGTCGTCGTCGTCGTCGTCGTCGTCGTCGTCGTCGTCGTCGTCGTCGTCGTCGTCGTCGTCGTCGTCGTCGTCGTCGTCGTCGTCGTCGCTGTTCAGGGTCGGCGGCACCGGCCGTAAGGTCTCTCCAATATTTATTATTTTTTTTGGGGGGGTCTTCTCCCAGCGCACGAGATTCGTTTTGTCTTCGTAAGGCCTCTCCAATATAGCTCCCTCGGCGAGCGTACGCTCGGGGTCAAGAGTGGGCGGGCTCGCGGGGTTGGCGCCAAGAGGTCGGCGGCAGTCTGGGGAGGCTTCCGGAGACTTCCAGACACAGGGCACTTCCCCAAGCTGATTGCTCTCCCGGCGGGTGGCGCAGCGAATCCGTAACGCTCCACGGCACTAGTGGGATGCACTCGACGCCCCTCGTCGGCCGTCTGGCGAAAGACTTGCGTCACGAAATGTTAGCCGGCGTGGACCCAAACAGCGATCTCTTGCAATGTATGCGGCGCAAACTAGGTGGTGCAATCAGTATGGCGCAATATGTGTGACGCACATCAATGCAAATCAATGAAAAGTAAAGCACTGATATTTCAATTCCATGCAGAATTAAGCAAAGCAAAGCATTGCAAAGCAATGCAATGCAAAGTAATGCAAAGCAATGCAACGCCATGCAAAGAAACGCGAAGTAATGGAATGTAGCGCAATCAAAAGCTAAGGCATGGAATGCGACTGCAATGCAAAGCAATGCAAATCCATGAAAAGCAGTGCAGAGCAATTCAAAGCAATGCAAAGCCCTGAACAGCAATGCAAAACAACGCAAAGAAAAGCAATGCAGAGCAGTGCATTGCAACGCGACGGGGTGGCGGCGGGTGCGGCGGCGACGGGGCGACCACAAGGCGGCAGACCCGACAACGGAGTCCAGACGACGGGCGATGACGAAGCGGCGACGGGGCGGCGACGGCGACAACAAGGCGGCGGACCCAGAACCCAGGCCCAGCTCCTCGGAAACGAAAGGGAAAACAAAGAGTGTAAGCACTGTTTGGGGATGTGCAACCTATGAGGCAAGCTTAGACACACTCAGCTTGCACTTGCAGTACACACCTGTGAAAGCGTGAGAGCGGAAAGGGAGGAGGAGGAAGAGGAGGAGGAGGAGGAGGTGGAGGTGGACGACGACGACCACAAACGGCGAGAGACGGGGTGAGGCACTGGTAGCCCGTAAAACGGCCCTCGGGCAGAAGAATGGGCCGAGGAGCGGCGATCCGAACGCCTGCCGTCGGCAAGGGCGGTGGGGAGGCGGGCCACGGCGCGATCCAGCGGTAGCGCGCCTGCGGGACTCGCACACGGCCGACGCGCGCCGCCGCGCCGTGGCCGGGCAGCGGCTCCCAGCCGGCCGGTGGAGGGGGCAACCGTGAGACATCCAAGCCAGACGGAGAAGACGAGAAAGAGGGGGAGGGAGGGCAGGAAGCGATGAGCCACAGACCCACACCATTCCTCCTCCCCCCGGCTCTTCCGACTGGTCTCCCCCCCTCCTGGGAGGGGGGAAGGGGAGAAACGAGGTGGATACGTAAAGCTGCCCTCCTCCGATGGACGAGGGGGAAGCGGAGTGGGAAATGCGAAGGCGGAGGTGCGAGCGAGCGAGCAAGCGAGCGCTCACCTCTCCGGACAATCGTCCAAGCTTGGCTAAGACGAAGTGGGCTTCATGGCCTCCAGAATCTAGTTCGCATAAAAGATACGCATCGGACTAGAAGACTAGGAAAAAGTATGACTCAGGGAAGAGGGGAGGAGGAGATGGAGGAGGAGGGGGAGGAGGAGTTCGACGCTGCGGCAATCCGATCCTAACCCGTACAAAATGAAAAGGATTACTGAGGAGCAGAACGAAAAAGAAGGAGGCAGCAGCAGCATGAGAAGCGGATAAGGACACAGGCGGGAAGGCCTACTAGCTAGTCGACGACTTCGAAGCCCTCCTCCTCCTCCTCCTCCTCCTCCTCCTCCTCCTCGTCCTCGTCCCCGTACTATTCGTCCTCCTCCTCATGCTCATTCTCCTCCTCCTCCTGCTCCTTTTCCTCCTCCTCCTCCTCGTTTTCCTTCTCCTCCTCCTCCTGTCTCGTCCTCCTCCAGTCAGCACGCACTCGGCTGCGCGGCGAGAAGGCCTCCGCACTGCCGATCTCCATCGCCAGCTCTATCCAGGGCCGCTGCGCGCCCGCCCCCGCTGCTTCGGGGGCT